ACACTAATCAGTGTGGGCTGTAAAATGTACAGTCCATTAAGGACTGTAAAATGTACAGTCCATTAAGCAGCAGCATTCGGCAGAAAAAAGGAGTTGCAACTGCAGGTAAAACTTATCTATGGTTTTTTTGTACGGTTTTTGGTACAACTTGGAAGCCCTTTTTCTTCTTGATGATTTTCCCACACCAAGAACACTAAGACCGCAACTTTGATACCAAAATGATGAAAAATATTACACCACCAAGGAAGCTCCAAGTGCAAACCCAGCATCTTTGACAACCATAAAGGTTAGTGCTAGCCAACAAGCTCAACCATAAAATACCACAAAGTTGCCTAAGAATCCACAAAGGAAATATCTCACAAAGAAAATGAGAAGGTGGCTGCTCATTCATAAAAAGGAAGGGAGACAAAAGGCACGGCTGTTTTGCTCACAAAGAAGAAATGGCCGCCTTATGTTTTTCTCAATTGCTACATTTGGCCAATTCATTAGAAAGGCAAAACATATAAGCAACCAATCTAGTGCACAATCAAAATGGGCCAAAGAGAGTGCAAATGGGCCATCACTCATAGTGGAGCATGAGCAACTAATTCAATGAATTATTACCTAAATGGTCCATTAAGTCTTAGGTTGAGCTTTTTGATTTGGATCCCATCTTGTGATGTTAATTCAATCTTCAGCCGAAACCTATAAAACTAACTTAAACAATAAATATCATAGCCCCGAGATTTATTGAGTATCAACAAAAAAACCCAACAATCCTTGTATATATTGATCGTTTTCTTATAGTGCAAGAGGCAGTTCTCCGATTGTAGAGCCTCAAAGGGAGATGTAGACAACTCATTATCTTGAACTCCCTTCCCCTTTAAAGGGGCAAACGTATTTGGTGTTCTTTTTCGTTATTTTCTGCAATCTTTAATATCTAATCATTATTTTTCGTTGAAGTCATAACATATCTGAATTTTTAGAATAAAAGAGAGAAGGTTAGAAATAAAATAATGAGTAGATATGAATCTAGACTCCCATTGTGAACAAACTGCGCAACATTTCGTCATTAACATTAAACAACATTAACAACAAGTACATATGACCAGACGTGTGTCTGTTAGCCATGGTTTGGAACAATAGGATTAAACAAAGAAAGATGACAAATATTACCAGACTTCTTATTTATACTAATCCATCTCTAGTCTCTATCTAGATGACTAGACTTAGCGCAGCCACCAGGTACAGAGGTCATCCCTTGATCTGGTGGCGCAGAAGTTGATTAGTATCACCTCCGCCTGCAGATGGAGCTCCGCTGCCAGTTGCGGTGGCTGTATGTCATTCCGGCAGAGTGGACATGTTCTGTGACCATATCCTATCGTCCTTTCTATGCAAACTCTGTGATAAAGATGGCTGCATCTCAGCTCTATAACCTCATCCCCTTCATTAATTCTGCATAAGCAACCAGCACACTCCATGGATGAATCCCAACGCTCATGATTATTATTCTCATAACACGTTACACTAAGGTCATCAACATAGTCTGGTAACTCAAATATTCTGCGAGGCTGAAAGAAGGACTGGATAAGAAGGCAATCCCATGCCCACTTCACCTTGCATACAATCTGATATATGTATGTCAATACAACCGATCTTGGCAGCTGCATTACTTGAATCATTATATATATAACTATAGGGAGAGAAAGAAAGAGATTCTTGGGATATAATGGCAAGTTCTGAATTGCTTGGATAGAGATATATAGCAATTTTAGAGAGAGAGAGAGTGAGAGCATAATATACGCTATTCTGTAAGACCAATACACAATTTTCCGTTGAACATAATTTGTCACTCTTCAACGAAGAATATTTTATATTTATTTTAGTTAGTAGGTTATCTGATTTCTTATAAGTCGTGCTGTTTAGTAAAAGATGGCATTCCAATTACGCTAGAAAATCTTTCCCCAGCAGCAAAATCCGGTCTATACAAATAGCTCCCAACTTCTACTTTTCACTGTACAGCTATGAATCTAGAAGTATATTAGAGAACGTAATTTTCTATTCCAACCACCAAAGTCTAGGTCCATTAAACGATTTCCATGCAAGTTGAGTTTATTGTTGGAAATTTACTTAAAACGCACAACAGAATATAAATAAAATTTTCAATTCCCATCAAAGATCGACTTTGTATTTAGAAAGAATATGCGATAGAAATTATACATTTTGTAAATTCTGCAAACTCCTTTTGCTGATCTTAGAAAGATGAACAATCACGATTTGCAATCCACTGTATAATTCTCCAACTTCCAATGAAAATTTACACGGGGATAAAAAATGAGAGAATTAGAATTTCTCTTTTCATGTGCTAGAAAGATAATGAATTATGTTATCCTCATTTCTAAAACCCTAATAACTTATTAATATAAATCCCAGTGAGTTTGACATATCTTTTAAACTTAACCCGTCCAATATTTAATTAATCCAATTAATTAAATTTGGTCTACGAATTAATTAATGCACACCTATTAATAAGCAACTCAATTAATTAATTGTACAACACTTGTTACTTAATTTATTGAAATCTCATTCTTCTGTTTCTCCTTTTGTATGTGACCCATCAGGTTCCCGATCACGATCCTAACGACGTGAATTATTATTTTGATATAATCAAAATCAATAAATTAAAATATTTATCACCACTTCACATTCGTCGTTCCAGATTAACATCCAGCAATGTGTCGAGCAATATATGTGACAAAAAATGTCACGTGGTATGATAAAATCAAACTTATACCGTGAAATTATAATCTTTTCGTCAATATAATCCGATCAATTATGAGATATGAATATGCGTCCATCTCAATTACCGATCATATCTTTCATTCCACTATTAAGTCAATGTGAATCGAAAACTCTTTTTCGACTTATGAATACACCTTGATCAAGAATTTCATTATCAACTTAATTGAATGAAATGTAGATCAAAATCTCTTACTATCTAAGAGTGACGAATTTTCTATTGATTATTCACGACTTTTACATGATTCTTGACATACCCGAACAATGTCGTATTAGATATCATTGGCAGAGGAACATTCAAAATCACCAAAGTATGATTGTCCTCATATAAGGCACTATAATGATCTCAAGTCAAATGACCAATTTCACTACCGAAAGTTAGAGATTAACAATTGACACTCAAATAGTTATTCATGTGGTATCTCCTCAGAGGGTCTCCAATATTTTGTTCTATAAAAAAAACATTCACTTGTTCATTTAAGTTTCACCTCACTTTAACTTGTGACATTAGTTATTTACTTCACAAGTAAGAAATGTCACACGTGATGGTTTATCCATAATAACGATATCCATATCTCGTTTTTATTTTCAACCAGTAATTATTTAAAATTCAGTTATATATAATTTGTATATCACAATCACAACTCCATGAGATTAACAAATTACAAAAACTCGAATCTACGAATTTTATTATTTAATTTATTAGAACGTTAATTCAATTAAATAATAGATCTTGCAATAAATATGCATCAATTATATATTAAAAGTGTTTATATTCAAAGTTGATTGGATTTAGGATATAACACTTACATTTATCACCAATATCCAACCCAACACACCTGATTTATACGCAGGTGGAGGTGGAGCCGTGGAGGGTGACACAATACATGACATCCAAGTAGATATGTCGGTTTCTGGCACAACTTGCGTTTAAAAAGTTGGATGATTAATTGTATGCTCTTAATATTTTGTATAATATATAGAATTTATATAATTTTTTCCTTTTTTGTATTGTCAAGGGATAATCTCCACATAAAAATAGTAGCATATAAAAGCTTTGGACAATCTTTTAAACGTAGTTGACTGTGGAAAATCAATCAAAGTTCAAAAAGATGAAAGGAGCTATCGATCTGTCTTAAAGATTAAACAGACGGTAAATTACCATATTAGCGTTCTTATCTCGTGAAAGCATGTTAAGGGATTGATCCTACGTTGATTAAATATGAAAACAATAATTGACATATTAGGGTTTAGACTACCATCTTAACAAAATTGATCTTTTAATATAGATAGAACTCCAAAAGTATTCAATTTGAATGATGATTGTTGAGGACTACAACTGCCTAAAGAATTCACATGATTTCGATTTCTAATTACAGTTTATATCAATCATAGAATTAAGTAATTACAATTCACCATTATTATGTATGTACTAAATCGTACTATAATAAAATCATCTAATGAAACAAGGAATAACTATGATAATTGAATAACTATGTTTATAATTCACCATTATTATTTCGATTTCTCTAAGTTCTCTCAGGCTCTTTTGCTGCAAGGCTTTCAACAGTCAAAATCCGATTATTTATTATTCACTAGGGGTACTGGAACAAGTTTTGTTGCCCTCCTCATGTATGTTGATGACATAGTCATCACTGGATCCAACTTAGAAGTCATCAGTGATTTGAAATATGCTTTGAACAATCAATTTAAACTCAAAGGTCTGGGGAAGCTTAAATATTTTCTTGGCTTAGAGATTGCTAGATCTAGCCAAAGGATTATCTTATCTCAAAGACATTATGCACTTCAATTACTGGAGGATACGGGGTTCCTTGCCTACAAGCCTAGTACTCTTCCTATGGATCGCAAAGTTCGTTTGAACTCCTTTGGGGGGGAGTTACTGGAAGATAGGTCTATATATAGAAGATTGGTTGGGAGATTGCTCTATCTTACTATTTCTAGACCTCACATTACATTTGCAGTGCACAAACTCAGTCAATATGTTTCTCAGCCTAGAAAGCCTCACTTGACAGCAGTTCATCACCTATTGCAATACATCAAGGCTACTCCAAGCTAAGGTCTTCTGTTTTCTGTTGAATCTTCATTACAGCTGCGTGCCTTCGCTGATGCAGATTGGGGGTCATGTTTAGATTCCAGAAAATCAGTCACAAGTTTTTGTGTTTTCCTTGGAGATTCTATGGTACCTTGGAAAGCCAGGAAACAAAGCGCCGTGTCCAGATCATTTGCAGAAGCTGAGTACCATGCTTTAGCCTTTACTGCTAGTGAACTGATGTGGATTCATCAATTGCTCTTTGATCTACACATAAACTCCAAAGTTCCTGCCTTAATTTTCTATGATAACCAGGCAACTGTTCATATTGCTACCAACCCCACTTTCCATGAGAGAACCAAACATATAGAGATAGATTGCCATTTTGTAAGGGATAAGATCAATGATGGTTTCATCAAATTGCTACCAGTTCAAACTAATCATCAGTCAGCTGATATTTTCACAAAGCCATTACCAGCATCAATTATGTTACCCTTTCTATCCAAGATGGCTGTTATTGACTTGCGTCGTCCATCTTGAGGAGGAGTATCAAAGTTGATGGAAGCAGCTATAAGTAATTAGGCGCAAAAATTAGTTTAGTTTGATGAGCTGTCATAACTATAATTCCTGCCATTTTACTTCTTTTTCATTCTATATTTATACTGTAAATTCACTTCATTTCAATTAGATAAAAGATATATTTTTCTCTCCAATATTCTCTCTTATTCACAATATAGTATCAGAGCAGACCCCGTTTTGTAATGTTGAGTGCACCCAATATCAATTTGTTCACAATTGTTTGACATGATCTACGCTGTGCGTGAGGGTCCGTATTAGAATCTCACATTGGCTGGTGATATTTACAAAATCTATTTAATAAGGTGAGAGCATTAATCCTCCTCTAACAAGCCAATTTTGTTAAGTTGAGTTAAACCTAATATCATTTCTAATAAGATTATTGTCATATTATTAAATAAATTGAAATGTAATTTTATGTATTGAACAATGTATTAGATTGGATAACTTTATTCATGGTAACTTGTACTGGTGCAATAATTGATTGTCAAAGAAAAACACCAGCAGAAACGGGTCAATATGAATGGCTCCCATTTTCTATTTTTTACAGTACAGCGTACAACGACAGCAAGCATGAATTAATGATGTTGAAATGAAATTGTAAAATTTTTATGCAAAGTACTTCAATTTATTATTTATTTATTAATTTATTTTGGAGCAACTTAAAAAGTTATATAGTCAACATTTATTTTTAATTACGGGTTTTATAAAATTCATATTTTTATTAACTTTTCAACTACACATTCATTAACTTTTATCGAAATCTACTGATTTTTATCAAAACATTTGTCAAACAATCCCTTAATAACTAATGATTAAGGTTACTAAATAGTCGGTTTAAAATAATGTAAGATTTAATATCTTCTGAATTTGTTCTGGTTTTTGCAAAAGTCGGATTCCAGAGGAAATTCAGACACAATATTCTCCCTTTTTAATGAAATTATAAAAGCTCCTCATGTGTATTGTCATCCTTTTACATTATCCTTGACATTCTTCCTATGGGTCAAAATTTGGGCAGTAATGTGATAGATTGTTGTAGAAATCAATGACTTTGATAGATGTGGAAGAGTGTCCAACTTAATGTCTAGTGGAATGTACAAGCATCATAACTCCTTTTAAATTAGGAATAATCATACTAAAAAATGTCTGACTTGCGGACATTTCTTTTGAATTACGATGAATCTTGAACAAATGACCATGACGCCTCTAATAGATCATTGTATGCTTCGCTCACAAATGCATGAT